GTTAAGGAACGAGAGCGAAGATAGCGTAATTTTAAGGCAGACATAAAAATGTTGGCATACTGAGGGGCCATGCGGGTACCCATAGCAGTGCGCTGACTTGAAGATATATATTGTCCCCAAATGTGAAATAGTTGTGGGTGAGGACAAAGTCACAAAGTTCAGTCACCAGGTTAGCTGTGACATTATCGGGGATACTGTTCCTGATAGCTTGTAGTCCATCTTTGTGTGGAATATTGGTGTAGAGGGCTTCTACATCCATAGTGGCCAGGATGGTGTTTTCTGGAAGATCACCAATGGATTGTAGTTTCCTCAGGAAGTCAGTGGTGTCTCGAAGATAGCTGGGAGTGCTGGTAGCGTAGGGTCTGAGGAGAGAGTCCACATAACCAGAAAAGCCTGATGTTAGGGTGTCAATGCCTGAGATGATGGGGTGTCCAGGATTTCCAGGTTTATGGATCTTGGGTAGCAAATAGAAGGTGTACTTCAATCAAACACAACTTTTTGCTGTCAGTACAAGAATAACTGAATGAAATTCTATGGCCTGTGCTCTGGGTCAGACTAGTTGGTTCCTTCTGGCCTTAAATCTATTAAACTAAGATTATATTATCATTTGTATTGTAGTAGAGGATAGTTGTTTCCTGTAGGCCTCAATACAACCAGAATCATGGTTCCGTTTTTGCAGACAATAACTAAGAGACAGTCCTTGCCTTGAAGAGTTTTATAGTCTAATTTGAGATGAGAAAAAACAAAGTCATTTAAGAAACAAAAGAAGGAAAGGGGGAGGGAGGACAAGGATAATGAAAATAAAATCCTGTGGTTATATAGGTTAGTTATTACACACCTTAATGATTCTGGGTATTTCAGAGAAATTTATTTGGAACCAAGCAAAGGCAGATTAAGATTTATTGGGGTCCTGGGCACAAAGAATATTGGGGCCCCCAACACCCCGGGGGCCTACGGGCACCAGAACTGGGGGGAGACAGTGAGGGGGCCATGCCCACCCACTTTTTAACATGGGTGTAGTAGTCTTGGGCAGGCGTGGAGCAGCGGTGGCAGGGGCTGTGCTTCGTGGTGGGGGGAGATAAGGTAATCAGCTCCCCCACTGTGAAGTGCAGCCCCTACTAGCAGCGCCAGCCTCTTCCTGGTGGGGGCCTGATGTGGCCTTTAGCCCCCCCTCACCATGGGGCCCTGCCCATGCTCCTCCTCCTCCTCCTCCTCCTTGAGGCCCTGCCCCCTGGTGAGGCTGGAGACCGGCAGAATTGGGCTGTGGTAAGAGCCACCCTGGGAGCCTGGGCCACTGTGGGGAGCCCTGCATCCTCCAGCTGCCTGGGTGGTGGAGACACGGGCCAGGGGCTCCTCACAGCGGCCTGTGCTTCCTGGGCGGCTCCAGCCTCTGGCCTGGACCGGGGGCAGAGCCTCAGAGGGAAGAGGAGGAGCAGGGAGCGGGGCTACAATACCATTGCTGGTGGCTCCCCCCCCACTTCTACCCAGGTTCCGGTGCTCCTGCTGGAGCCCCCAAATTTGCTGGGGTCCTGTGACATGGGACCC